TTTAAATAAAATTCAGTCGGCTCTCACTTACTCCCGCAGGTTCCCACAGAGCTTCATTTCCTCAGTGCATGCCTTCAGTAACAATAATAACCATCAGCCCACAGAACATGAACAAACATGCAGCACAAAGACGCTCTCCGGAGCAGGCCCATTACCCGCCATCATCAGTAGTGGGGTGTGGGGGGTTATAGAGACCGCAGAGAGACATGCCGATCTGGACGCAGAAATCACATCATTCTCCCTGCTGAAGTGGAGGTCTTTTTACATTACTCAAATGGCCAATCAGCCCTCTCTCTCAGGAAAGTCAAATGGTTCTTTCATGGGCCTGATGAGGCATAATGACCACAGGACAATTTACACTCTTGGGGCCCAAAATGGGATTGAGTCAGTCCTCTGGGATGTGTAAGGCCCGTTAATTATCTCAGTTTGTGACTGGGCACCTGTGCAAGGCTTTAATGCAAAAAAAAAAAAAAGCCGTAACACACCTCCAGCCACGATGCAATCACTCTATGTCAAATAAGAGTCTCTAAAAGCCCATTTTTAAGATCCCATGTAGCTCCCCTACAGTCTCCAAAATCATTTAAAGTTGAAATTTGTAACTTTTGCAAATGACCTGTTGGAATATTTTGGTACCACATTCTAAAATGGAATGGGAAATGAGATTAAATATTTTGCTAGGGTTGCAGAAAGTAATTTCTGAGAAGTTATGGATGGATGAATAGATAGATGCATAGCTAGATAGATCCATTAATTCAAATAAGTAGACATTTCTACTACCTTCTCTACCAACTTTTACTTTATTTGCATTTATATTTACATTTATTTACAGATTCACTAAAGTGACAGGGAAGAGTTAAGACCGGAGTAAGGCTTGCTGAAAATTCCTATTTGCCACCACATTATAACACTGAAAAAAGTTATGTTAAATAATATTCTACTATTTAAGGACCACTGTCAGGAAAATAGTGAGCACAGGAAATATAAAGCCAAAGGTCAAGAGAATATGGGGCATGGTGGCTCTTACTGCAGTTACTGGCAGGAAGTAGAAGAAAGAGGCATGATCATTTACGAGCTTATGAGAGACATGAAGACAAGAGTAAACTCCGGATGATCAGAAGTAATGGAAACTGTGTAATTGAATAAATAACCCACAAGAGAATAGAACCAGAATCTGTTGTTTTAAAAAAGAACTGCATCCACCACACTTACACATACACACACACACAATTCTGAGAACTTAAAAATACAATGCATTCTCATCCCAAGGCGTCATCTAACTGAGAATTTTGAACTTGCTTCAATATCCAACGCTTTAGGCACCCTTTAGCGTCATGACGCTATCCTAGGGCGTCATCTAACTGACGCTTTACCTTTAAAGCGTCCTTAAACCAGTTAGATGACTCGGGTAGGTTTAGGTCTGGGGTAGGGTTAGACCACTAGGAAAGCATAATCTAACTGACGCTAAAGTGTGCCTAAAGCGTCGGCTATTGAAGCATGGTCAAAATGCTTGAAAAGAATGGGCTGAAAAATAACATTTTGATGTTAGGAGACATTTTGATGATATTATGTGGTTTTCAGGATGGTGGGACTTTTTTGCGGCCTCTTACTGTGAAAGACCACCTCCTTTGGGAGTTAGGATTTGACAAGCTTTGAGTGTGCTTTCGGGATCGGTCCCCACTACGGGAATGATTCCCACCTACTTTGAGAAAAAGATGTCTGTCTTTTTTTTTTTTTTTTTTTTTTTTTTTTTTTTTTTTTTTTTTTTGGTGTACTATGGTATTCTTTCATCTGGCTATAAATTTGTAAGCATAAAAAGGAGCAAGATGGTCTGTTTTTTTCACAGTCTGCAGATTTCCAATTAACATTATGAGAGTATGTATCTCCATGCAAATGGCACTGCCTGTAAGCTGGACAGCAGAAAGAAAATGGGAAATTTTGTTAAATTTATTGTAGAGAGGAAAACCCCTTGAGATGTGACATCTCATTTCCGAGGGGACCTCAAGAATGCTTCAAAAACATTCATACTAACAAAACAAAGGCTCTCCATCACACCAAAACCATCCATATATTCCCCAATCCAACCATTAGATATTAGACAGTAAACAGTTAAGGTCATTCATATAAACAATTTAGTAAAATAATAAATAAATATATATATAATTAATTAATTAATTAACCACAAACAATTAAGAAGAGACATCTTAAACTGGTGAATAGAGGAGATCAATCTAAAAGACCTGGGTAAACCATTCCAATCAGAAGGGGCTTTACATTTAAAGGCTCTCCTCACACTTTCTTTGGTACCTATGTTTGGTACGGAAAAGAAAATATGGTCAGTGTCTCTTAGGCTGTAGGATGTTTGGTATGGAATCAAGTATTGTTTCTGATGGGTAGTTTGAGAAAATGCATTTGTGAACAAACTGCAACCAACGATACGTCTAGCATTTAGTGAAAGAAGATTCAATGACTGATACATTTGACAGTGATGAGTTCTTAATGGGCAACTCAAAACAAATCTGCAGAGACTATTATAGATCACATTCAAAGGTTTAAGATTGGTTACGGCTGTGCTCTGATTAAACAACATCCGCCTAATCATTTACAGGCAATAATAGTTGAGTTATAATTTTTAATCTAATCTGTTTTGTAAAACAATTAATTGAGCTGTATAACATTCTTAAGTTACAGTTCATGGGTTTTGTTTACAATATAAGGTAACACTTTAGAATACGGTTCCTTCGTTAATGAATAACTACACAAGAACTAATGAGTAACACAATATTAACAATCTAGTAACTATTATTAACTAACAAGAAACTCTGATTAACGAACTAGTAAGTAATAGCGCATAGACGAAAGTGGTAGTTCACTATTAACTAATCAATAACTACTATTTTTTTTAATACTTCCCAGAGAACTACTGAAAAAGTTTATTAACAATCTAGTAACTACTATTAACTAAAATAAATTCTTATTAACGAATTAGTAAGTAATAGCTCACAGATGAAAGTGGTACTAGATACTTCTGTGGGAATTACTAATTATTTGGATCCGTATTATAAAGTGAAGATCATTGGAACTAACTAGTAATTACTCAAGTGTTACTAAAGACATTTTCTAAAAGTATACTAAAGTTCACCAAAAATCTCAAACGTTTGCACAAATCATGACTAGATCATGTAGTAACACTTCAGTAATTACTAGTTAGTTCCAATGATCTTCACTTTATAATACGGATCCAAATAATTAGTAATTAATAGCTCACAGATGAAACTGTTACTAGATACTTCTGTGGGAATTACTAATTATTTGGATCCGTATTATAAAGTGAAGATCATTGGAACTAACTAGTAATTACTGAAGTGTTACTACATGATCTAGTCATGATTTGTGCAAACGTTTGAGATTTTTGGTGAACTTTAGTATACTTTTAGAAAATGTCTTTAGTAACACTTGAGTCATTACTAGTTAGTTCCAATGATCTTCACTTTATAATACAAATCCAAATAATTAGTAACTCCCACAGAAGTATCTAGTAACACTTTCATCTGTGAGCTATTACTTACTAATTCGTTAATAAGAATTTATTTTAGTTAATAGTAGTTACTAGATTGTTAATAAACTTTTTCAGTAGTTCTCTGGGAAGTATTAAAAAAATAGTAGTTATTGATTACTTAATAGTGAACTACCACTTTCGTCTGTGCGCTATTACTTACTAGTTTGTTAATCAGAGTTTCTTGTTAGTTAATAATAGTTACTAGATTGTTAATATTGTGTTACTCATTAGTTCTTGTGTAGTTATTCATTAATGAAGGAACCGTATTCTAAAGTGTTACCCAATATAATTGATATGAGGTCTGAAGGTAATTCGGGAGTCGAGCCAAAGGCCCAGATATTTAAATTCATCAGTCTTCATTAAAGGTGTGCCATCCAGGTATTTAACCTCAAAATAATTATTTTGCTTATGGAGTGCAGATCTGGTTGCAAAAAAAAATAAAAAATAAAAATAAATAAAAAATGCTACAAGACTTCTTTTTTATTATTAAATAAAAGCAGATTAGAAGAGAACCATGTTTGAATATATGATTGAATCAAATTGAAGTGAGGTTTGTATCTTAGATATCGTTTTTAGATTTATATACAGTATATCTGTGTCATCTGCATATAGTTGATCTGCATATAGTATCTGACAGCCTGAGCATATTTGTGGGAGATCATTTATAAAAATAGAAAATAAAATGGCCCTTAAGGAACAACCAATAGCATATAGTTTGTCAAGAAGTATATAATCATTGACCATGTCAAACGCCTTAGTGAGGTAAATAAAGATTGCACCAGTAGACCTGTTATTACTGTACATTGTGCATATATATATATTGCAAGGGCTGTTGTAGAGTGAGGTCTAAAACCAGATTGATTTGGAGTCAAGAGGGAAAGGTCATTAACATATTAAGACAGTTGCTTAAAAATAAGCTTTTCAAATATCTTTTATACATTACTGATTATGGAAATTGGCCTATAATTGTTCACATCAAGTGAGTCACCACCTTTGTGTAGTGGTATTACTTTCCCAAATTTCCACATTAATGGAATTACACAATATTCTTTAAAAAATCCTATAATTATACAAGATTTTTGAATGATTTTAATTGAAAGATTTGAATTAAGATTTGAAATATGAAAAAAAAATATCATGCTTCGTGTCATTGACAAATGCGATCTCATCTGCAAACTCACAAATGGCATACACACACACATAAATACAAAAAGTATTTGCCATCCAAAATGTCATTATTTTATACAAACCTACACTATTTTATAGTTTTTTGAAAGGCACAGCAATGTACAAACAAACCTGTTTGTGAGGTGATAAAAGAAATGTTTATAAAGATGGAAGTACACACTGTAAACCTGATGTTATTTAGATGTGATATGTTGCAAGTTAGTGAAATAGTTGGGCATTAGACTAAATGTGCCATTTTGTGTGGTTGCCCTCACAGAGTACATGGATTTTTCCCCGTTCCTGAGCTACTTCAATTCAGGTACAGTACGGTCTGACTAGAATGATAGGAGAGCTAGTTGTGCTTGTAGCATTAGCAGTATAGAAATATTCAATGTTATTGTCTAGCTGTGTAGTAATATTAGTAGTAGTGAATGTATCCAGTTCTCACAACTTAAATGTGATTTTAAAAGGAATAATTACATTTGCACTACTATAAGTGGTTTATTTTATTTTATTTTGCTTTATGTCCACCCACCACATAGAATCAGAATAAAGCAACTCCATTAAGGTCTCTTGATTTTAGCAATATCGATCCCAACCGCTGTAAATATCCCTGCCTTAAAGAGCGTTAATGAATAAAATGGCTTCTTCATTTTCGGCTGATTGGAGGGCATGCATTGACTCTCTTAATTACTGGGGAGAAGAAATTGGTTGTGCATGCCTTATCCTTTAATTGTTTTTCCCACAGCCAGTCCTTAATTGGGACTCCCTTGTGTTTATCGATTCACTTTGATGTGCTTTAATTTGGATGACGTGCTATATATATATATTAGTTTGCAGAGGGGTTCTGTCCAGCTCTCTGAATGTGGTTTATGTCAAGGCTGTGTATGCGCATGAGTGCAGTCACACTCATCAAAGCTGGAGGTATTATGCTGTGAGGGAAATTTCACAGCAGGTAAAGAGCTGCAGGATCAAATAGGCCCCTTAGTCCAGCACCACACATTAGCTGCTGTCTGAACGGACGTCCACTGATTTGAGCAGTTAAACGTCAGTCTCCTGCTGTCCCCATTTTCTTTGTGAGTTTTACAGTAGTGTTTTAAAACCACCAGAGCATCTAGTGACAAGGAATCAAAACCGAGGAAGCACATTTAAATGCATGCATTGTTATATTTAAACACATGCAATTTTTTATATATTGATCAGACTTGAAACTTTTCAGTTTGAAGCTTTTCAACTTAAAACGCTTTGTGGCAGCATGCAGACATAGGCAAGACGGCTCGCATGCCTATTGGCTGTCTTGCGGCAACTGCAGCACCCTTTTGAGAGAGGTTGTAACGCAAAGTTGATGTTGCCCAGATAGAGAGGAAAAAAAACAATACAATAACTGTTACGTCAAGGTGTTGGAGGAAATCAGGCACTTAGACGATGGCGCACTTTCCCGTGTTTAATAAAAGCAACAGTTACTTCAAACGCCACACTCGTCCACATGCATGTAGATCGTGTGGGAAAAAGTATACAAAACAAAACATCCAACTTTGGTCACACCACAAGAAAGAAATTAAAAGAAAGAATACAAAAGTCAGCAGAGCGGTTATCTTTCCTCCTCACCCGTCAAATCAAAACTGACACACATGCACATGCGCAGTTCTCATATTACATTATTAACATAAAATCACAAAGTGACCGTTACAAGGTCATTGGTGACGTCAGATCCAATGGGATCACTACGTCACCTCCCACCAAAGCAGGCTTGGCCTGGGCCTATAAATATATCTCGATGGGCTGATATAATCTGAAGCTCACGCATTGCTGGATCCGGAGTGAAGAAGCGGCGCCGTCTGAGAAAAAGCTTTCTGCGGGACGAGCCTTTGCAACTGAAGCTGCTGGCCTTCATCTCGCCACATTCAGTCGCTGTTCCTGCTATGCTTTCCGCTGTTTATACCCTTTTACTTCGCCGAGTGAGCAACAGGGACCGCCATTTCATCTGGGTTTCCTGCCTGGGTAAGGATCATGCAGCTCTCGCGGTCGCTGATGGTGGTCCCTCTGCTGGACTGTGAACTAAGATGGCGCTGCCTTTTAAAGCTTGCCGCACTACTTCTTTGCACAGCGAAATCTACTGCACAGGCCATTGGGCAGAACATGGCTTCTCTCATCATTGCTGAGAGACATCTATGGCTGACGTCATCTGAGATACCTGACTCGGAGCGCTCCATGTTTCTTGACGTGTCCATATCCCCAGCTGGCCTCTTTGGATCATCCGTCAAAGATTTTGCGTATAGATTCGCTGAGGTTCAGAAGAGGTCACAGGCTATGATGCACTTCTTGAAGCAGATTGCCCCAAAACAGCCGTCTGCTCGAAGCTCCCAGTCTCCGCCTGCCGCCGCTTCACAGCGCCGTCAAGGCCGGGAACTGAGACCGCTTGTAAAGACCCCCGCTGTCCCACGCCCACATTTACTCACAGACATGTTAAGCCCCACAGGCTTCGCCCCGCTCGCTCTATCTCAGCAAACAACACCCATAAGGGAGTTGAGCACGGCCTCAAACGCTGCAAGCACAGTGTTTACGTTACAGCACACCGAAGCTCAGAACCCAGATCTCATTCTACCCCTAGCTATTCGTGCAAATGCATGGGCAAAGCATGAAAAAGCGGGGTGTCAGAATGGGTTCTGAACATTTATAAAAAGAGGCTATTCATTGCAGTTCGCACGACGTCCCTGCCGCTACACGGCGTGGGTCGAAACTATGTAAAAAACCGAAGTAGCCCATCTACTTTGCGCCGAAACAGCGAAACTTTTGAGCAAAGGGGCTATTGAGCCTCTATCTCAAGCTCAGAGCGAAGATCTATACAGCAGATATTTTCTGGTACCGAAAAAAGACAGGGGTCTCAGACCCATTCTAGATCTAAGACAGCTGAACAAAGTGCTTGTGAAACGCCAGTTCAGAATGCTCACAACAAGGAAAATCCTTGTTCAGATTTGCCGGTTTACAACAAGGAAAAGGACGCGAGCTTCCTTTTCCTAGTCAGGGCAGTAGGGGTGGAGCCAAACCTGAATGCGGTATTCGGAAAGGCATAAATAACATTTTTTTTTTTTTTTTTTTTACGAACAATTATTTCAAACAAATACTTTAAAAAAATATTTGTATCCGGGAACAAGAAAAGAAAAGGAAAAGGTGACTGTCACAGCTGCCCACACAGCAAAAAGAGGCCTCGGCTGAGCGAAAAAAAAAACACACTTAACTGCATCACTATTTTTGTTGAATAGATTTGTGTACCTTAAATGGGTTCCAGAGGCAATTTATAATTTTCTGGAAGCGGAGTTTGATCGGGAGATTATTCCATGTTCGCACATCAGAGAGGCGCCTGATTGATTGATTGAATACTTGATCGATTGATCGATCGATCAACAACGGGACAATTATAAAAAAGATGGGGGAATGGCACAAAAAATTACTTAAGCAAGATCAGTGACCAATTTCGAGCCAAGTTTTTCTTCCCCCAATAATGATATTTCGATGATACTGTATGTAGAATGACATTATAAAAATGAATGAGTTTAGACAGTCTATTCACAATGCTCAATACATTTGTATGAGCATAATGCATTTATGCTGCGTTCATGTGCTATGGTAATTATGGTAAATACCAAAAGCTGACGTGGAAAATGCACACGAACACCCCCTCATGTGGTATTTTCCACTGGGCAACTCGTAGAATATTTTGATGGACAAGTTGCCGAGATGAGAGAACCTTTGAACATTTCAAAATGGCACCGCAAGTGTCGTGAATGGTAATGATCTAGAAAATATATAGCATGTTATTTACCTTTTGAGTTTTGATAAATCATTTTCTTGCTTTTGCAGATGACTTAAGCAATCTAAAATAGTTTTAGCTAAATAACAGGTCTGGATCTCCATCTTTTTACCACATTACGACAACAAAAGCACTTGAATGCAACACACTGGTAAATACCAGTTCACAAGTGGAAAATATACTATTTTCCATAGCACGTGAACGCAGCATTAATTCACATTAAAATTGATTTTATTGGTTGTTTAAAGAAAAAAAAATAAGTTGACACTTCTATGAGTCTGTGCTTAAGAAAATCGAGATGTTGCAGATTTCGAACAGAGATGACGACAAAGAGGAAAAACTATTCTTCCCTACAAAGCAAAAAGGCAGTAACTGCAGTTTTAGTAAAGCATTAATTATTACAATTTTTATGACATTCAAGGCATCCTTTGTTATATGACAAAACATCTTATCTTAAATGCGTGTCGTTTTAGAGAAAAATGGTAGTCGTTTGTACAGTAACTGCAAAAAGCCCTGGCAAAAGTCATTTTTCTCAGTTCTGCACTCTGCGTAGTTACTGCCTTTTTGCTTTGTAGGGCAGTATTGACTGCAGCTTTAATAAGAGGATAGTTTACTGTATGAAGACTAATGACATACTATTGACTAATGACTAATTCAATAAAGTACATGTTTCATTACAAAATAAAGAAGTATAATAATTGAAGTATAATTACTCAAGTACTGTACAAGTGTGTCACAGCTACTCCTTTTTTGTCTAGAATGAGCAGCAGAACAGAGAGGGGCATGACAAAGCCAGAGTTTCAGCAGTTGATTGATACCAGTACCACTGACATTTCAAGATTTGTGATACCATAGTAAAATCTATTATACTATATGATAAATAAATAAATAATGGTTAAATAGTATTATAAATTTGAACAAATTAAACTAAAAGTGTGAGGCCTTCAAGTATTGCACAATTAATGAAACATTACTCAACATTATTAAAGAAGTAAATGGCAAGATCAATGAGTGCTTTTCTCTTTTTCCTGTCAATACTGTTGTTTGATTAATGTTAATGCTATAATTCTGGTCTGGTATCATAATATGTGTTTTGTTTTAGAATTGAGATGCTGCCAAAGTGCTGCATTGTGTCTTATGTCCTGCTAAGTGATGATTTAGGTATTTGATGCTATTAGAGTGCTTTGCAGTGCATTGACTTTGATAGACTAGTTCATTATGATTAAGTTGCAATGTCTATTTGGTGTAAATGGCTTGATTTCTTCACAGAGTGCATCAAGGCAGCATCAATTCTCTCAGGCCTGTTCCTCCACATGCATCAACAACTAACTGATTGTGCTTTGTTTTGACCACTTTAGGGAACTTTACTTTAGCGGAGCTGGGCATTTGTGAACCCTCCCCTCATCAGAATGCATACTGCCCTGAGATCGGCCTCTTGCAGCACGGTTACTCTCTGAGCGCCGGCTCCGACGCGGACTCTGACCCAGAGGGCCCTATCTCACCGGAGCGAGCCATCCAGCTGTGGGGGGGCCAAGGCATCAAGTCCCGCCGCAGTTCTGGCCTCTCCAGCCGGGAGAACTCGGCCCTCACCCTCACCGACTCCGACAATGAGAACAAGTCTGATGACGAATCAGGTGAGAGAATGTTTCAGAGAGCGAGAAAGCAGCGAGCGAGTTTCGTGTTTATGAGAAACTGAGGGTGTGAGAGAAATCTTTAAGGCTTTTAGAGTGTAAGATGTGTGAGAACAGATGCCAAAAATGTGCAACATGTGATAAAACATTCACTTGCTTTCGACTCGTTTAGAGCTGAATGCATTTCGGATTCTTTTTGTATTACCTGGGTGTTATAGCCTGTCTGTGCATTGATAATCATTCCCAATGACACAAGCCACTTTTGTTCATCAAACTGCAAGCGAATCTGCCACTGGAAATGCATATAAATAGAAATGCATACAAATTAAAATGTCAAAGGACTCATTTTCATCAAGCACAAACATTGTACTCCCCTTCCTTGTTCCATTGATGTAGTCGATGAATGAATCCTCATCGGCACCTTCCTAGCTGGAATTCTGCACCGTGTTCCTTGTTTCCACACTTCCTTGTTAATTTGGTGGCATCCTTAATCTTAGCATAGTTTGAAGAAAATGTCAGAGTAGGTTAATGAAAGACAAATCCCATCCTAATTAATTGAGTTCTCACCATATCACACCTCAAGCAGATCCATCAGCTGTGAATACCATTATCGCACAAACTCGCTCTGACAATTTATCAAACTACTCTTCAGCTATTAACCCTGTAAGACCTAAATATAGAAAAAAAAGAAGAAAAAAAATCACCTATCAGATGTTGTTGTGGGAGGCCTCTGCAAATAATGAAAAACAAAAAAAAAAAAAAAAAAAAAAATATATATATATATATATATATATATATATATTTTTTTTTTTTTTTAAATGTTTGAGTACGTTTTTAAGGAAATGTTGTAATATTACAATGTTTAGCCTATTTGGGAGCAGAATTTCAGCATTTGCACTTACACTGTCAGAACAAATGTAGACAACAACTAAGGGCTTATTAGATTGAAATACTAATATTAATATATATACTTAGTATAATACTAATATAATACTAATATATACTATTAGTAATATATTATAACAGTCATATTTTTATGAATTAGAATTTAAATATTAAAAACAAAACAGATTGAAAACTGTCAAAGAAACAGTGTCCATGCAGTGTTCACTTGCAATGGTAGTCCCAAAAGCAGTTCCTTTCCTCTAAAAAGCAGAAACGGAGATTGCACTTCCTGCAGAGTGTATTCAGATATACTTTTTTGCAGTGTCTGCAGCGTCCTCTCATTCTGAAACACCTTGGAAAGCAGTCATCTTCATCTTGCCGGCTGATAATTGCCTCACAGATAATTGCCATGCTAATCTTTTGGCCATTGTTTTTTTACGATACCGAAAAACGTGTAGGCACAGCATGTGCCAATCACTGGATCGCATGCCGGTCTGCTCCGACAGTTGTGGACGCGAGCTGGACACCGTCTCTCAGCTCTGCACCGTGTTCGTGTTTCATTTACACTGAAATCCCAATTAAACGTCGCCCAGGCCAGGCCTGATAATCTATCAGGGTGTGTCACAGCGGAACCATCTATAATAAATAAAATAAGTAAAATACCTTTAAAATACTTTTTTAAAGCTTGTAATATGTTACCTTTTACCAACAGCAGTATTACTGAGATTCAATAAATATGTTTTTTGTTATGTTATAGAGACTAAACATGCTACACATATGATTTTGGGTTAACCATAATATGCAAGTCATGTCTCAAACCCAAAATAGTTGAGAAGAGAGAATGAATGCATATGCCAAACCACATCAAAGGAAAATTATGAGATGGAAAATTAGATGCATGTCAATACATTTATCACATGGTTATATGTAGAAAATGTAGGATTAAAAGAAATATAGGGTTAAATTCTTCTTCTCAGCAAGAATTAAGAGAGTGTCACAACTCTCTGGAAATTCCATTGGGTTATAAAGCTTGTTATCAGTCTTAATGTCTCCTGTAACAGGACACCAGGTTCGACCAGTGGGTAGGCTTCATTTGGGAGGGAAGTTTTATAGAAAGTTTCATAAAGGTGTCGGAAAGTTCATCTAAGTCCCAGACATGTTGGCACCATTTTAGACTTAGATTGTCACCAGTCCTGTCTACATTTGCGAGGTCAGAGTTTAAAAGCTTTGGGATTTCAGAAGAAATGTGCATTATTTGTGTTCAGATGAACCATGATTTTGGTTCAATCCTTGGAAGGAGAGAGTTGGAATGTATGATTCATCCTGGTGCGACCCAGATACACTACAGGTATGTTTTGTATGCTTCGGTCATGTGGTTCCATGTTCAGTGGCAAAATTGTTGATTTAGTCCAGTTTATGGAGTAGTCTGATATAATAGAATATTCATTGGTGAGTTTCATTATGTCTGTAAGAGATGTTTTAGGATTTTGTACAAATAGAAGTATGTCATCTGCATATAATGACATTTTATGATCATTGTTGTAAATATAAATATGTCTAAATATAGTTTTGATGCTTTTTATAGGAGACCAAGCAATGATTTACATAAGACACTTTGTCCAATCCCATTTATACATGAATGTTGCTGAACTGGAAATAGCAAACCAATTTTACTTTTACCAGATACAGTATGCATTCAGTATGTTATTCCAAATAACGTACAATATTTTGTATTATTTCTACTATGTAAAGATAACAATTCAGTTTGATGCCTATAATATACATACATAGCATACATAATACTTTTACTAATGTTACAATATATATTTGAAATAATTAAGTTTAATATTCAGAATAACAGAAATAGAAGAATTCGATATCCTATTCCAAATATTATTTCTGCCATTTTAAGATAATTATACTCTTACCATTTCTGCCATACAAAGAAAATAATTCAGTATACAGGGTGTCCGCGGGGATCCACATGTTCCTAAAATGTTGCTTTTGGCTATATGATTTTTTTTTTTCTGTGTTGATGCTAACATGAAAAAAATAGATAAGGTGTGACTGATACCTCTGTGAGTCTGTGCTTGAGAAAAACAAGCTTTCTTTCTGTTGAACTGATTTAGAAGCGGGATATTGCTCTCAGTGAACATGTTCTCACAAGGAAGAAAGCATATGTTCAAAATAGAAGCAAGTAAATCTGTCATTTCTGTCTTTCCACTTCTAACACTCTTTGAAGCCCCTTATCTTTGCCCCTTTTTCTTTGACAATTGTTGTGCATGTTGATGCACTTCAATATCTTCCTCTCTCTCATCTTCCTTTTTTGCCCTGTTACATTATGGATGTGTCAGCAGCACCAATCACGTTGAAAGACAGGTGTCACTCACAGAGGGAGAGAGAATGGGGTCAGAAGGAAATTTTCATCCATTATCACCCTCCGTCCGCCTCTTACGTACTCTCTTAAATACTCTCCCTGATGTTAAGGCACCTTTCAAAGTCTGCCACCCGCTTTGACTAAAACCTCCATTTGTGCTTTTGAGATGTTAAGTCTAGACATGGGCTTACAGTCAATATCTGTTTGGGCAGAGAGTCAGAAGTTGTTAGGATAACAATAGCAGCCACTCTTCCAGGTTCTTCAGACAAGCAGCTTTTAACTAAGACTCATCAGTGCTGAAAAATGCAGTAAAGACAGCAAAATATTTCAAATTATAACATTTCAAAAATGTTTTCTATTTTAATATATTTTAAGAGCTGAAATTTCAGCCATCACTCCAGTCTTCAGTTTTACATGATCCTTCTGAAATCATTCTAATATGCTGATTTGCTGCTCAAGAAACATTTATCATTTATTACCAATGTTGAAAACAGTTGTGCTGCTTAATAATTTCATTTCATGATACATTTTTTTTTTTCAGGATTCTTTAATGAATGTTCAAAAGGACAGCGTTCATTTGAAATAGCCTGTTATAATTTATAATTTTGAAGACATTAACTTTTAAACAATTTAATCCTTAAAAAAAGTATCTATTTCACTTTTAACTTGTTGCTTGTAGTTTGTATTTTACTAGGATATTGGCTGCTTATTATTATTATTATTATTATTCAGCTTGACTATATTCTACATCCCTTAATCCAATTCCCCCTCAATACCTAAATGTAACAACTTTCGGTAACGCTTCCTTTTACAGTCCAGTTACCCATGTAAATACTATGTACTTATTTTAGTAACCACAATAGGCTATATGCACGCATCAGTTCCGCATTTGACGCAACAATGCTCTTCAGTTTCCGGTTGAGGAGATTACAGCGGAGGAAAACCGAGGAAAATGGGATTATGGCAGAGTCTTCAAAATTTACTGTCCTCCCGTCTTTGAAACGAAACTTTCATACGTTTAGATGTAATTTTATATAGTTATGTTTATTTAATGCAATTTTAAAATGAAGAATAAA